CTTGCATGTGTGTTCGTGGCCTCACGAGCGTTAGCTCATCCTATAGTTTTGTTTTCCTTAACAGGACCGACTCTTGGAGAAATATGGAGAAACTATCCGTTGAAATTTTGCTAAGACTCCTGTTATACATTTTGACTAGGCCCTGGTTTGGGTTGTACTTTTGGAAATTGTAAACTTGAAAAGTTTGGGGCCTGATGTGTACTTTGAATTTAAGTCGTTTCATGACTACCGATGTACTGGTGATACATTAAATGACTTGTTAAGTTTGAACGCTTCCGCATTATTGTATTCATGTTGCTCTCATCGAAGTGTTTAGTTCGGTTTGAAATTGAATGGAATTGCTTGAGTCCTGGCGTGAGCTGGGCAGGCGTCCGCGGATACCCTTTGGTCCGCCTTAGGGAGATGTGGGGCGTCGCAGCTTTGACTTTCTTGTTTAAATCTACTAGGGTTTTAGGTAATTTTGTATTTGACTGTTTAGTAAAAAGATTGCGTCTTCTATTAATTTAGTTGTTCAAATTTTATGGAAGCCTTTTGTATATCTGGACAAATACTGGGAGGTGTTTTCAAGTAGACATATATTGAAACAAGAAGAAAATGAGAGAGAGAGAGAGAGAGAGAGAGAGAGATTCCAATCTAAGTCAAAGCTAGTCAGAATTAGAAGCAGATAAGACCAAAAGTTGCAAGGTTAAGATTTTGTATACTACTGCTATTTTCAAAAATCTTTTGCCACCAACCTCACCATCGATAATGAGATGATCAGAGTATTGGCCAACCAACTTTGGGATTTCGCTACTTATTTTTTTCACGTATTTGTAGCCTTCTAGCCTCCATATAAATATAAGATATTAAGGAACAAAGATGACGAGCAAAAGGTCTTAGAATAGATAATTGTCACTAACTTTCCTAGCCTTATAAACCTAATCAGAAGAAACCTAGAGGAAGAGGATAAAAAGCTCTTCCCCTATTTTAGAATAAGAGTTTCTTTACCCTTTTTTCCATTAATTTTATTAAATGCATGTTTATTTCAATGTTGTTATAAAGCTTTCTTTTGATTTTTCTATGTCTGGCTAAGTTATTTGTACTTAGGGTCAAGATAGAACCATTTGTACCCTAATACATGGTATAATTCTTGTTGGTCAATGTTATGTTTTGTTCAAATTATTCATACTTTTGTATTTTCATGTTTATAGTGAATCTACCATTCAATACTAGTTGATTAAAGCATTTAACTTAGATTGTAGACTCATGAAACTAAAGGCACACTTTTGTAATTAAAACAAGCAATTTTAAAGAACCTAATTAATCTATATATAGTTTATTTCTAAGAATATATATGAACTTGATATGGTATGGTGAGTGCACAAGTGAAAGTAGGTACCATATACTGTAGGAAATTATACCATGGATTAACATAAGTGAAAAAAATCAATGAATTGAAAGTTTTCATTAACTAGGACAAGTGACAAAATACAAAGTCCTAGTAGTTTTTTATTGCTGGTGAATATTGGAATTTGTCGATTTGTTGGTGTTTTGTAATTGATAAATTTATCTTCGTTATATTTAAGTTTATTTAAGGCTCTTGCACCATTTGATTATTGAAATAATAGAGTAGTTTGACACATTTTATTACTTGGTTGTTCTTTCCCTATGAGATTCCCATTCAATCCTTGGTATATTTATATATACTCATTGCAGTTGTAGATGAAAAGGTGGAGTTTAAATATAATTCACTATCACCCACATAGTTATTGGAGATTTTGTTAGAAAAAGTTGTTACTTAAGCATTCAAGTGATACATAATACCCTGGATTCCATGTTTTGTAATGATAATAAATCAAGCCGAAAAGGGATCTATTAAGGTCAAATTATTGTATATTGACTTGAACTGAAATTAACAACATACTGCGTTGATTGAACTAAACTTATTTTTTTTTTTTCAAAATTTGCTTCAAACTCAATTTTCTAGAAACTTATTTTCATATTTACACTTTTGTGAAAAAAATTCAGTAGTTTCGATGACTTTCCATTTACATTTATCTATTACATGAATTGTAGCATGTTGCTGTATTGAAATAGATGTTAGTTAAAATATGTGGAAGCTATATTTTTGTATGTTAGTGTTAAGAAATATAAAAAGTTCTATTTGTAAATATGTGATTCTATATTATTGTTATCTGCAAACCTTTATGATAGTATATTTGCACGGAGAAGAGTTCCAAATCTGTCAAAAGCTTTTGGAGAGTTAAAACTTCTATATGGTTAAAGAATTTATTTAGACTTCATGCTTTATTTTCTTCTTTTCTCATACTTGTTTAGCAATTACAAAATATGTGATAAAAAAATAAGTTAAGAAGTTGATGGCCAATAAAAGAATGTAAAAGAAAAAAGAGCTAAACGTATAATACATAAAAACCAAAGTGTTTTTTTTTAATCTCTCATTCATATTTTTTTTTTATGAAGAAAACAAGTATTCAAAAATAAAAATACAATAAAATAAAGAGCAGTATGGCATCAAACTAATAGTAGAACAAAAAATGTGCAGTGTTATACTATATATTTCATGAATTATAACTAAGAAATCAATACAGGACTAACTTCCAATATTTCAAGGAATACATGTCATCCAAATTCATTTCAACATGATAAAATTTCGATAACTGAAACTTATAAAGATCAAGTTGTAAACTTCATAATTTTGCTTATCAAAACTTATCTATGAGTCCACCAACTGAATAGTTGGCATTCTTCTACTAATAATCGCCACTTTGTCTAATTAAGTCTTCTTCTATTATGAAAGAAGTAGGGAACTAAAACGAAAAAAAGAAAAAGGAATCAAGGATAAAGTATTTGCCTTTATTCTTTGCTGCCATTCTTTTTCAAACCGTTAATTCAGACTCTCTCGATGTACCTTCAATCATAGCCGTTCATTGTATTGGGTTGAGTAGATATCAACCATCCAATTATCTCTTGGGGGGTGACATGGCCTCCCTATCCACCGTCCACTTGTCCGTCCCGAGCGTCTTACAACTGTGGCCCCCACCCCGGCGCTTTAGCGCCGAGGGCCGGACCCCGTATACTGTTCATATATTTGAATTCCAAATGAAAGTACGTAAAATGTTGTAACATGCTTGGAGATGAGGAAATATACAGTCGAAGCGGGGAAAGAGACTATTGTTGATTGACATAAAGGCATAATGGTAAAAATATGTGATATAAATTGTCTTATAATTAGTAGAAGGGATGTCACATTTCATCCGATAGATAAAATGGGAAGTCGAGAAACGAAGAGGTATGCTGGTCCTGGTACTCCTTTGAGACCCATCACTCGAAGGAAGAGGCTGTTCAGCAGTACCGGTGGTGCATCGAGTGCGGGTCCCAGTTTCAGAAGGAAAGCAAGGCTGTTCCTACGAGGCAGGAAGCGGCCCTTTGTGCAAAGCGGGATGATAGATGAGACATTCGATCCTGATGAAGGCGTAGCCTACGAGGCCGTGTGGTACGATTACATGAGGCTCCCGGAACTAGGCCAGGGACAGGGGCATAGATATGAAAACAAATGCAGGGTCACTTCCATTAACATTGACGGAAGCGTGCTGATCGGCAGTGATGTTGCCTTTATGGACGACGGACATGGGGCCACGTATCCCGCATACTGTTATTAATCAGGTCCATAAATGCTGTAACATGCTTGGGGATGAGGAAATATACAGTCGAAGCGGGGAAAGAGACTGTTGTTGATTGACATAAATGCATAATGGTGAAAATACGTGATATAAATTGTCTTATAATTGGCAGAAGGGATGTCACGTTTCATCCGATAGAGAATGGGAAGTCGAGGAACGAAGAGGTATGCTGGTCCCGGCACTCCTCTAAGACCCATCACTCGAAGGAACATCCTTGCTCTCCTTTCGAAACTGGGACCCGCACTCGATGCACCACCGGTACTATTGAACAGCCTCTTCCTTCGAGTGATGGGCCTCAGAGGAGTGCCGGGACCAGCATACCTCTTCGTTCCTCGACTTCCCATTCTATCTATCGGATGAAATATGACATCCCTTTTGCCAATTATAAGACAATTTATATCACGTATTTTCACCATATGCCTTTATGTCAATCAACAACAGTTTCTTCCCCTGCTTCGACTGTATATTTCCTTATCCCCAAGCATGTTATAGCATTTTACGTACTTTCATTTGGAATTCAAATATATGAACAGTACACGAGGTTCGGCCCTCAGCGCTAAAGCACCGGGGTGGGGGCCACAGTGTGCAAGAGCGCACTGTGGGTGACAGAAGGTTTGCTCTGCGAACCGTACTCATCAAAACAGTATGCTCCCGCATACTGTTATTGATCAGGTCCTCCACTCTTGTTGTTGATAGATGGTAAATGATTTTTTTGAGAGTCTTCCTTATAACATTCTATTTTTTCTAACATATGTCTGCGATTAATGTCCTGCTATGACTTAACTTTTATTAGGTTTTCAGATGAAAGTTTTCTTTTCTCTAAAGTTTCTAGTGAGAGTTTTCTTTAATAAATGATTTTCTTTATTAAATCTCTTCTTCAGATTCTTTTGTTAGATTTATAATTTTTAATATAATCTTTATTGTATAACTCAATGCAAGAATTTTTCCCATTTTGCTAAAACTTTGATGAATTAGAGAATAAATGGAAAGGAGTAAATAACATTGTGTCCATCTGCAAATTTAGTAATTAGCAAAGACAAGGTAAATTGCATAATGTGATGACAATGAAGTGAGGCCATGAAAGTAATTTAAAGGTGAGACAACATTTTCTACATCAATTGAATAATATACCATCTATCCAACTCACATTTTTTTCCCCATAATTTACAAATTATACAAACTTCCTGACAAACTTGTTACTTTAACCCTTTTTTTTATCCAAAAAAATAAAACCACGAGAAAAAAACCAAAACGAAAAGGCAGCAAAACGATGTCGTATCCGGTGACTCTTCTTCCCTCAGTTTGGTGGAGCTTAATAGAGGGAACTCTGCTAAACATTTCTCCCTCTCTCTTTCCTCCTTTCCTCCAAATTGAAAATCTGCAAAATTTTCACACACTATCCCACTCACAAATTCACCTACTGACCAAATTTCAAAGAATCATGGTGGACCACAAAAGAAAACGCGGCCGGAAGCCCAAAATCTCCGTTTCGGAAACGCTAGAACTGGACCAGAACCACACCCCAACAATTCCGGGCTCAGTCCCGGGCCCGAGCTCAAGCCCGACCGCTAACTCCGACGACGTCGTTTTCTCCGTCAGCAACGTCGAGCTCATCGACCCGCACCACCACCACCACCACCACAACCATTCTCAGTCGTCCAATCACGAGCGTCGCCGCCGTGGTCGCCCACCCAAGAAGACGAAATTGCCCTCGTCGGAACCCTCCAAAGCCATAAGAGCCGCCTCCCCTACTCGCCTTCTCCTAGACAAAGCTAACAACGGCCCCACCGCTTCCCTCATTTCCTCCTCCATGGTGGCGGGGGGGGAGAGTGTTGCTGCGGCGGCGAGGGTGGTCCCGGCGATGGATGCTGTGGTGAAAGTGTTTTGTGTTCACACGGAGCCGAATTTTTCGCTCCCGTGGCAGCGGAAGAGGCAGTATAGTTCGAGTAGTAGTGGGTTTGTGATCAGTGGGAGGAGGATTTTGACGAATGCGCATTCGGTCGAGCATTATACGCAGGTGAAATTGAAGAAGAGAGGATCGGATACTAAGTATGTCGCCACTGTTCTTGCCATTGGAACTGAATGTGATATTGGTAAGAGGCTGAAAGCTTGTGTTTTGCTTTGTTTTTTGGAGTTCTTGTGTTAATTGTTGTAGTTTATCTGAATGATTCTGCCGTTTTTTATACTTGACAAACAAAAAGACTGATGCTTGGATTTGTTTGGGGAAAAAATTGATGCTTGGATTGTTTTATTTGGAAAAGGTTGCTATTGTTTTTTGGGAAAAGATTAATGTTATTTTTTTATTTGTTGTTTTTTTGGGGGGGGGGGGGGGGGAGGGGAGGGGGAGAGTAATGCTTGGATTGTGGTAACCCTAATGTAGATTGTGGGGTTGGTGATGCATAAGTTTGTTGCTTGTAAATCTTGTCCTGTTGGATGCAGAAAGCATGAGGTTCAAGTTACTAGGGATTTTCAGTGGAAGAGGGAGGGAAAAAAAAAGAGATAATCTTGAGGATTATACTTTGTCCACCATACAAGGGGGAGCAATAAAAGATAACGAATGCAGCTATTGGATGATTGCTCGTTCTTGGTGGATGCATGTAGGATCGATTGTTAATTGCCTTGCTGCTTTCTTCAGATACTTCTGGTTGTAAATCATTAAAAGGTTAATAAGAATGTTGATTAGATCTATTGGATATCGTCTCCTATATTTGTTCCCCATATTTTGTTGTTCATTTTGGTTTCTTTGATGCTGTAGCTATGCTTACAGTGGAGGATGATGAATTCTGGGAAGGGGTATCCCCTGTAGAATTTGGAGATTTGCCTGCACTTCAAGATGCAGTGACAGTTGTTGGGTACCCAATTGGGGGAGACACGATTTCTGTGACAAGTGGTGTTGTTTCACGTATAGAAATTCTGTCTTATGTACATGGATCCACTGAACTTCTGGGGTTACAGGTACTTTGTTTTTCATTTGACTGTTATGCTTAAGTTTATGCTTGCTGACTGATTGCTGAAATTGGTTTCTTGCATTTATGGTGATTTTTGCAGATAGATGCTGCCATAAACTCTGGAAATTCTGGTGGTCCTGCCTTCAATGAAAAGGGTAATTGCGTGGGTATTGCATTTCAATCCCTTAAACACGAGGATGTGGAGAATATTGGTTATGTCATACCAACTCCCGTCATCTTGCACTTCATTAAAGACTATGAGAAGAATGGAGCATATACTGGTATGGGCTCAAGTGCTGTAGGACTTCTTGGTGTTCTATTGTATCGCTTCCTCTGCTTTTTCTGCCATCTCTTTGTCAATGTTCCTCAATCACCCTGTACATGTGTAATCTGTAAAGTTCAATTTGGCCTTTTTGTCTCCAGTTGTCAATTTTCTTGTAGCTTGAGTTTTTTTTTATTAAATGAAAGTACAAAATACTTTGTAGAAATAAGTTTGAGACAACATCATTACCTTATTGCATTCGCTTTAAATGCCAAGTCAAAGGTATGGTACCTTTAATGGACTTGGAAAATCTTCTTGTAACTAAATGCAAGACTCAGCTATTAAGTCAGATCAAACACGGTAGTAACAGAAGTGATTCAAATAATATATGGCTGACTTATAGTTGTCAATCTCTGAAACTTATGTGCTTGTGATGATGAGAAAAATTTATGTGCTTGTGAACCTTATGTACGGATAATGAGAAAAATTTATGTGCTTGTAATGCTCTTAGGCATATCTTATGATGAGAGGAAAATCGATGTGTGTCTCTAGACCACATCATCCCTAAACCCTAATGTAACATCTCTAGACATTATTACCTTATTGCATTCGCTTTAAATGCCAAGTCAAAAGTATGGCACCTTTTTTGGATTTGGAAACTCTTCTTGTAATTAAGCTATTAAGTCAGATCAAACAAAGTTGTAACAGATTCAATTCAAATAATGGTGGGCCGACTTATAGTTGTCAATCTCTGAACTTATGCAGATCATGAGGAAAATCCATGTGCTTGTGATGGTCTTATGCATATATTTTGATGAGAGGAAAATCAATATGGATATTTAGACAACATCATCCTTAAACCCTATATATCCACTCAAGGCTAGTGAAAGGCTGCTGGGGGAAAACAAAAGACTAGTGAAAGGCTGAAAAGGCTTATGTTAAGTCGATAATCTTAGTTCTCGAGAACAACATCCATGTGCTTCTCGACTACAGTCTTATTACATATTGTTTACATTCTAGACTTTGGTTTAATCAAATAATTTCACCCATTAAATGCCTTCCACAGGATTGGTATGGTAGGAAGGTAACAAGTCAAATGCCCACTAAAGATTGGTAATTCAGGTGCTACCACTTTGAAAAGCTAAATGTCCACAAATGATTGTGGCAAGACTTTCTTGTTCAAACTCAATGACAGCTCAATGTATTCAGCCAACTTTTACTATGATCTTAAATCTACTTTTGGTGATAAAGTGCTTAACTGGGTTGCAAATCTCATCCAGTTGCTAAAAGTTACAGAACTTGGGTCACGAGCCTTCCTCTGTGTGGTAAATCATGATGCGGTAGTAACAGCACGTGCAGGTAGTTAACTTTTGTACATTTGCCACCTTGATTTGGTAAAATACACAACTATTAAGTAGAATGTCTTAGTTTAACAAGTTGATGGTGACTTCTTGCTTGGTCTTCAACTTTGAGCCACAAGGATGATATAAAAATGAGTCTATCGGGATGGACTCCCTGGTGCAATGTTATTCACATATGTAATTACATGATGGATACTGGCAGTTACAGAAGTTATGAGAAATTCCTTAGTTGTTAGATTTGGAGAAAATTCTTGGATAAATAGTTTGACAATAGGGCAGTTCAGCTGCAGGGAAGCAGCACTGAGAGCAGCAAATGCTTGCTTTTGTATCAAAATCATAATATAGAAAGAGAATTTCTATAAGGTTATGCACTTGTGTGTTTTAATTTAAGATACTAACAATAACGTTGTTTGGAAGTCATACTTCCCACTATGGTGAGCACAAGTTGCTCACGGAGTGGGCCTTAGCTTGATACATTTTAAAACTTTTTTAACTGTTTACACACACACACACATATAGATGCATGAAATTTTTCAGGTTTTAGAAATACGAATAACTGTCTAAACTGAGAAGGATTTTCTTTATCTTGATCCTCAATCTTATTGTGCTTAAGCTTCTATCAAACTTATGAAGAAATGTCAATAAGCATTCATGGTTAATGATCACTATGGAAGTTGTGCATCCAACCCTTCACGTTTTAATTCATCTATCTAAAATGTTGCTAGCTCTTCATCCAGAAATAATTGTTGGGTCATGCTGCTTAAGAATGTTGAATGGAGTGTCTAAGATTTTCTTCTTTTTAAGGAATTTAATGAGGTTGGAAGTTGACACTTGGCCACAGCTTGAGTTCAAGCAGGCCACTAAAAGGTAGCATAAGTGACTTGTCTATCCTTTCGACTTTGCCATAAAGTCTTTTGTTTATGAAGTCTTACATGTGAAAACTATCTATTAGTACAAGTCTCTGCTGATGTAGTGGTGTACTTTGTTATTGATCCCTAGCAATGAGGAATCACTCCTAGGAAGACTTGCTTCAGAATATCTGAAAATTGAATGTTACTTGTTACAAAACCCACTTTCTACAATCAGCCCCATGTTTTTTGTCGTGATGTACTTTGTAATTGCTCGCTAATTGATGTTATTTCAAGCTAGTTGCCTACTATGAAGTATTTTCTTTGGTTACATCAAATTGGACATTAGATTAATATAGCTTAAGTATTTGACTAGAAGAAGTAACTAATATGGCTTGAAACAGCAGAATTGGAGAAGTAAGTTGTGTCCCTGGTCCTAACAGGGATAGATTTCTTGGTCTGCATATGATTTGGGCTGCAAGATTTCCCAACATGGACCTACTAAGGTCCCATATTCTGTATGGTAGCTGGTTTTTGCCTCTCCTGGATGTTAAGCTGCAAATTCCTTCATCATTCATTGTTCATACTATTAGTTATGTGCGGGAAAGATACTAAGGAATATTGAATGTCTTCTACATTTAGAAGAAATTTACACAAATTTGCTCATACAATTTTCAGGTTTAGTGTTGAAGTTAGGTGTACATCAAGGGAGCTTTAAAAATACAGTCCCAAATTTGTTACCAAAGCTACTTGTTAGCTTAAATAACCATCTTAGCAGACGCATGTAACCTTAAAGTGCTTGTTTAGATCTTATTCTAAGCCCTGAATAATATTTACCTGGTTCAATTGACTTATTGCAGTTGTTTGAACTGGAGTTGCAGTTTGAAAATTTGATTATTAAGCTAGAAGAGTTGAACTTTTTCAAAATTTGTTTCATTAAATTGCCTTACTCCCCTGAATAGTTAAAATTATACACTTGTCCCTTACCGAAGATATTGGACGAATTAAAAGTTGACAACAATGTCACGTGAAGAAGATATAATCTACAAAATTAGAAATATACGGTAAGAGCTTTATGCTGCATTGACTTTCTTGAGCAATGTATAAATGGCCTAGCTTAGTACAGGTCATCGATCCACAAATGCATGTTTGTCTTTGTCCTTTCAGCTTGTGCTGTTACTTTTTGTGTTAGTGTGTGAGAAAGCGACAAATCTGATGTGGCCTTCTACATACGTGTTTTGACCAGGAATTCACTACTTTCTCTCAGTCATTGGCTCCAAAAAGGTTGAATGTTTTTCTACAATGCCTTAGCTAGTTTTAATCTTTGACAAGATTTATTCCTAATGCCGTCTTGACCAATATCTGAGTAAGTTGATTGTAATAAACAAGATATACTGTTAAAATAATTAATAATTGGATTAATTTGGCTAATTCACTTATTTTTCTAATTATTGGGCATATTCTTTTGGCTTACATAACTTTTCCAAAATTTCAAGGATTATTTGATGATTCATGAATTAATCCAATGTATGATAGTGTTGGGTACTCATGGTTTTGGGAAAAGTTAACAAAACAAATTGTTCCTTTTCTTCACTTGAAATTACTCCGACTAATCAGCAATGTAAAGTGATTCTTTGAAAGCTCAAATATGGGTACGCTGGCTAATTTGCTGAAGCCAAACTGGGTAGATGGTGTAGATTGAGCTAGCATTAAATTTTACTGTCTATATTTCTCATCCAATTATCTTCAACCATGCAGAATTTCAATTCAGGACCTTGATTCGTTAAACTTAGATTCTTGATCAGTACTCTTTAAGCTGGTTCCATGTGTGAAGTAGCGTGATTTCTTTGTTAAAAGTTTTACGTTGCTTGAGGTTATTCTTTCAGTAATTTATTCACAACCTCTCTTCTTCCAATCTCTGAGATATTTGCTCAATTAGTTAATGAAATTAGTACAAAACATCCGTGGGAGGAAGAAAGAGGAGAGATAGGGAAGAGGAGGCTAAGGATGGTGACCTTATTTTGAATATAGCGCACACTAGTTCCTCTGTCATTTTCTATTCTTTTTGGTTGGAATAGTGGGCTGGTTGGGTTGGAACAGCCTAACATCCAGTGTGCCTCTGCAAGTTAAGTCTTTAATCTGAAAATATGCATGCATTTGATCAATGAAAAGAAATTTAAAAGAAAAGGCAGTATATTACTTAAATCCATTGTTCCCTGTATGTTTTGGAAAACTTGTTGCCTGATTGAATGATATTTGCCACAGGGTTTTAGCAAATATAGCAAATATAGTGGGATAAATTACAAAATCACCAAGTTTGGTCTAGCTTCAGGTGGTCAAACTTTGATAGTCTAGTTTTTTTGAGCTTCATGTTGATTGACTGAGGAAGAACAATTTTTTACTTACCGTATCTTTTTATTTCACCTTCAGTCCTATAGGAAGACAAGGGGTCGAGATTTTCTTTTAGGTAGATGGCTTCCAAATATTGGTTGAATCTAATATTTATAGGTGAAGTACACAAGGAGCTGTAAAATTCTGTGAAAACATTGTAGTCATGTACAAAGCATCTCTCCAAAGTAGTCTTCGTGCTTTCCTGCTTTAGCTGGTTTTCTTTTAAGGCCTTGAACTGTTAATCATTTTGTGTTAGGAAATTTTCATCATTCATCCTGTTATAGGTTTCCCAATACTTGGGGTTGAGTGGCAGAAGATGGAAAATCCAGATCTACGATTATCAATGGGAATGAAACCTGATCAGAAGGGTGTTCGTATAAGAAGAATTGATCCTACTGCTCCAGAATCAGATTTGTTGAAGCCATCAGATATTATCCTTAGCTTTGATGGAGTTGACATTGCAAATGATGGAACAGGTAATTTCTGTAATACTTTTGTTAGACTTGCATTTGTGGCACTGAGTTTGTTGAAACTTAACTTCATGTATGCCTTTTAGTACTGGTGATTGTCACTCTTCTTTTCCGGATTTCTTTATAGTTTATTCTTGTATTGCAGTTATTCACATACATTAGCTCTCATTCTGTTTTGTCTTTCTTCTCTCTTCTTTTTCTATTTTGTTTGATCATTTTCTAGCTTTCTTTATTATTGTTGTAATGGGTTCTGTTTCTAGAATATTATTTTTAAAAAACTTGAATGTTATGTTGTATTCAACTTTGATGGTATTCCTTATTTAAAGAACACTCCTTCCTATTCGTCCCATGCATAGTAATATGTGTGTGACAACCACTTTATTTCTTTGTTCCTTTTTATTGGGTATGGTGGAGGTTTACTGCTTTGATGGAAGCTCCTCTTATAAATCATATTAGGATGGTAACTTTGTTATTTCTTTGTTCCTTTTTATCCATCTATGTTGCAATTAAATAACTAAACAAAGCTCAATCGTACAATGGCTGAAAATTTCCTAGCTACAAGGACCAAAGTACCCCTTAATAGACATCACTATGGTTTTGGAACTGCCTGTTGCGGTTAGGAATGGTTTCGGTGTTGGTTCCTTAACTGTAAAGGTTACTGTTACAGTTTTTTCTGGGTACAGTTACTGCTCTTTCTGGTTACATTTACGTTTATTAAATTGATTTCCAAGTAATAAGATGATGAATTTAGAACAAGGCAAAAATAAAGGCAATGAGTTCAGAAGAATACTAGAACTTTATATTATTGTATTGTTAGCAACAAGAAAAAGAAATATGATAACACGGTCTAGGAAAAGGTACCTCATATTTTTTCTATTCTTATTGTTTTGCAAAGAAAAAAAATGCATAATGTTCTTGAATGTTGATACTTGAACTTGATATTCTTCATACGAAATAGTAAATACAATAAGATGAGAAGGGAAAAACATCTCAATAACTCGATCTCATAGATGCTTGTGTGAAAGAACTCTTCATCTTCACTTTTCTTTATTTCTTGATATCTATGCTCTACTTGAATCCAATCATTCACGCATGCTCGAATTTCTAGTGTTTTGGAAATTAATTTCGATCAGGTGTCAATCTGAAATACTTTCATGGGCACCAAAAGTTTTTTCCATCTCCAGAGTTTATGCTGCAGTTGCTAGAATTTGTCCTAGCAGCACATCCAGCTTGAGGATTCAAAGCATTTCGACAATAGTTAATAACACCTAATTGCTTACCAAAATCAATGGATAGATGTTTGATAGCCAGCATTTTTGCTAATTCATTCTTTTCTGTTTCATCAGTCAATCAAATTAAAGAAAGCTTAGAAGTAGTGACGCTGCTAAGTTGCATTTGTTTTCTGTCAGTATCAAACTCTTGAGGATGCTTGCTTTTTAGTTGTTTGTAAAACAATCCGTAGCTACCTTCTTTCTTGTCATTGCTAAGTAATGGCTTAATCTTGAACAGTTGCGGTAGTAACATCTGGGCTTGGGCTGTTGCCCACAGCCTACTTGTGACCTCTGCCCCCAACCCGCTTTCCCCTTTTCATTTTTGTTGGGGTCACAGTTCGAACCTGAACCTCTAGGTGAGGTTCCAATCATGGTTCATGTTTCAGGTGCTGGATTTGATAGGAAGAACTGCAGTTGCTATGCAACAGTGCAGTTTCCAGTTGGAACTGCAATGATGGCCACCCCTAGTCGATGGTTATTCTTAGGATCTCAAGATAGTTTTAGAGTGATGTGAATTTAACTCTTCAAATGTTGTTACAATATAGAATTAGAATTTTAAGTCTTAAGGCGTAGGGGTGGACATGGTTCTAGTTTGAACCAGAATAGGAACTGTCTCCTGGAACCAGAACCTTGCCTGGAGGTTTTGGTTCGAATTGTGGTGCAGAAACAGAAAAAAAAAAAAGAAAAAGACAAAGGTTTTTTTTTTTGGGGGGGGGGGTTTGGTGGGCAAATCACAAGTGCCCAGGCTCAGCCAGTACTGTTACAATTGCAATGGCTCAATAATAAGCCATTATGCAGCAATGCCTGGCCACTCAGGGTGGAAAAAAGGAATGATGGCAACCTATCATATTAAGATGCCTTTGTTGGTGTGGTTGATGCTGAACTGTGATTAAGGAAATTTATTAATGGTGGATTGATAATGAAAAAACCTAGTAACTGCATGAGCAGCTCCAAGGCCAATAGTTTTGGACAGCAGATGTTGGACGAACCAGATGAAGTTGAGAAGCCGTTACGACAGAAAGAAGAGTTTTGTTCATTGGTGATCCAACAACCAGAAAAGGATGTGGTTATTAATCCTTTGAGGCTGAAAATTCGGAAATTTTGTTGCTGATTCTAAATCAGCGTCAAGTTTGAATTGCCTGAAATTTCAGAATCGCTTAAGGGTCTTAATTCACTTGATGAGGAGGAAAAAAATAATAGTTTTTCAAAGTTCTAAAGGAAATCTTAAGGTGGAAGCAAAAGAGGATTTGCTTGTCAAGGAAATTTCAGAAATGCAGGTGGATGATGATGTTGCTTGACCAAAGGAATTCATGGACATAAATTTGGATAAGTCGGGACCAAGCAAAATCTGAATGAATTCCCTGTAAAATCGAAGGTTGTGAGAGTTCAGAGAGAAACCAAGACAAGGTTTCTACTTTATTTGCTCCAAAAATTGATTGTCTTTGGAGATACTACTACAACATTCAGACTATGCCATCTCCAAATTTTTTGAAATATTTTGTAGGTCTTGTGCTTCTATCTCATGGGCGAATTTCCAACCTTGGGGTTCTTTAGTCTCGAATTTCGAAGTTTGAGGTCGAGTTTTGTGCAACTAGGACAAATGGCTGAAGAAATCCAAGATTTAGGGTTTCCAGAATTTGTTTGAGCTTCAATTAGGCACACTTTCAAAGATGAATAGGTTTATCAGAGTTCAATTATGTCTTAAGTATATTCAAGTAGGTGTTTAAGGTTTAAGATTTTCTGAGTTTTAGTGTGTGGGGAGTATTTAGTAATTTTAAGAGTTTTAATATCTTCTGAATTTTAGTATGTGGGGAGTATTTAGTGAAATTTCTGTCTTGGTAATTAGTAATTTAGGATATGGTCATTCAGTGACTTAGAAATCTATTCTGATTTGGACTTAATATCAATCTTGTAAAAGGAGTCTTGTTCCTATTCTGACCAAGTGAATCCTAATTGGAATGGAAGAGCTTAGGATACTATAAATTCTGTACTTCTCATTTAAGAGGAGAGGGTGTTTTTTTATGTTAACAAATTTCTGCAAACTTTGTTTCTTCTTGAAGACTGTGATACAATCTTGCCTTAGGTGTGATGCCTAAAGGTTTATGGGCAATTAGATAATGTTGTATGTGGATTATGGGTATCATAAATCTTGCTCCAGTTTGACCTAACACCAACTTTTAATTTGTGAATTTTATTTATACTGTTGGATGTTTCTTCATTGAAGGGGCTTGGATAGCTTATTCCAAGCTCATTAGAAAGAGTGTTAAAATGACAATCCAAATCTGGAGCAGTTGATTCTTTGTTCGTCTCTAGGAACACAAGAAAGTCAATATGCATACAAACGCACACACAAAAAAGCATTTAAACAATTAACTGAATTTTGTCTCTTCTGTTACAGAACCTCATCTGGGGACATGCAGCAAGAAAGGAACTTGGATATCTAACAATACCTTTAAGAGCTACCCATTTTTAGTTTGTCTCAGTCTAGATGGTTAAGATGGAGTCATTGGACCTCAGAGTACATTTGATGGCAGATTTTGAGTGCAGGTAGAAATATGAAAAATTGTGATCTTGCTTTGGAGGTTGATAGCAGGTAGAGATATGAGGAACTAAAATAGTTGAGAACTTCTTTTAAGTGCACTGCCTACTTGTTTTATCAACCTTTAAATATCAAAATTTTAGGTACTTTGTGGAAAATTTAGTTATTCAGAGAAGAAACATTAACCTTTCTTGGTCAATACTCAGGGCTTATTCTTGAGCTTGTAAAGCAGTTTTATTTTCAAATTAAGAGAAGCTGTTTTGGTAAAGCAGGTGGGTTGCCTTTGGAAAAAGCATTTAGCTTCTCAAACATAACAAATTTTCAAAAGTAGCCTTTTTTTTTTTAACTTTTAAAAAGTGCTGCTTATAGCTTTTCATAAGCTATTGAGAAAAAGGCCTCAATGTGGATACTGGGATCTGCTTTTTTATCATTTTCGGGTTCATGTCAAGCTCATGGTCGTGCAGTGTTGCTCTCATTTCAAAAGCATTTGAAAGGTTATTAAGTTCAGAGTGTTGTTTGTAAAATGCAAGAAGATGAGAGATAAGAAATGTTGAGGCGATTAGTATTGCTCATTTTAGATCCTGCTTGTCAACTTTGTTAAAAAATTTGTCTACATTGGTGAACACCGCTTCTTGCCCTTTATTGCTGCTGATCAAATTTTTTCTGATCAATCTTGTTCTCGCTCAGCAAGTTTCTTCAGGTAGATGCATTTCTGTGTTTGATTTTTGTTTGGCTAGATATTTTATTGTGTTGGATATTATATTACAATTTTTTTAATAAAAAAACATACATTGTGATTCAAATCTCCTTGGCAAATGCTTGTCAAGTTGCTTCATATAGCCCCACCAAAAAAGGGGGAAAAAAGAAGCCTGTGATTCTTTAAAACACTGGTAAATAGCAAAGCCACCTCATCTAAACAAAGGATTGATTCCTTGCACATTTTAGGGAAATTTTTTTTGGTGGTCCCCTTAAAAATACTTTGCAACTTCCAGTTGTGGTGTTACGTAAGATTATTTCCTTGTCGGCATGCCCTTGTTCTTTAATGCTGAAGTAGAATGTTTTAATAGTAAAACATTTGTTTTTGTTTAACGATTCACATCTTGCCTCTGAAGGATGCTATTCTTTCTGCTATTAACATTTTTCTGGGAGAATTAATTATCTTGATCATCCTTCTTTTTACTCTGTGTTTTCTATAAGTTAGTGGCTATCCTTTTCTGAGCTTTGAAGCCCACTAGAGAGTCCTGTGCATCAGGGAAGGAGGGGGTGCATATTTACATAGTTAACCTATCTATCTAGGGTATGTTTACTTTAGTTTTGCACATTTAGCTGATTCTAAGTCTACACCTTTATCCATTTGTTTCCTTACATAGCTGTGATCTTTGATGATTTAAATATGTAAGAGTTGGCATGTTAGTGGAGTCAAATGGCTGCAGTTAGTTCTCGCAAATTGAAGTATGTTGACTTTCTATCTGTTGTAGCCTTCATGTTGATAATGTAACCCATTTGATGGATATATGTGTAACTGAGAGTAGACAAGTCAGGATGAAGGCCCGCTTACATTCTTATGATGAGCATACACTAAAAAGAAATAGGCTCTTGCAGCTATTGCAGTGTGAATTGCCATATAGTGACTAGGAAAGAGAATATATTTGACTTTTCGTTGAAGGTTGGATTTTCCAGTTGAAGTCAGTTTGGAGCCTTGTTGTTGTTATGTTTTTTATATTTTTTTTCAATTAGGTTTGGAGCCTTGTGAGCTTGGGCAGTTTTTTTTTTGTCATGCATCTCAAGCACTGGGATTGACACTATTTGCTGGGTGAGCTTCTTTATGAATTATGATGTATCTAAAGGAGGTGTTGTAGCTTTTGCTGTCCTGGGCTATGGCAGCGGATTAGCAGTTGATCTTTACGTTTGTCTCTGTTTATCATGATTATCATTTACTTGCTTTTGATTTTCAGTTCCATTTAGGCATGGAGAACGAATTGGGTTCAGTTACCTTGTATCCCAGAAGTATACCGGAGACAGTGCAGCAATCAAGGTTCTCCGAAATTCCGAGACCATCAAATTCAATATTAAACTCGCATCCCATAGAAGGTTGATTCCAGCTCACAACAAGGGAAAACCTCCATCATATTATATCATTGCTGGATTTGTGTTTACAACCGTATCAGTTCCATATCTGAGATCTGAGGTGCTTATTTTGTTTCAATATAACATGGATAGATGGCATAATCATGTATTCTTCTTGTGAGCATTGTGTTTTAATTTTGAGTTGCATGGTGCTCTCCTTGGAGCTTGTATCTTTTCCTAACAACCATAATTTTGGAAACTGGCATATTTGATTTTGGATTTTGGAATTCATCATTTGGTAGACACTTGTTGACCTGAAATTTTAATTGCTGATTCCAAAGGAACTGTTGTGTGTTTGCTGCTATCTTGTAGTTTGCTTTTTTGAACTCTAAAGGCATATGAACATCCTTGTCCTTTCGCCTTCATTTACTTGGGGAATTTTGATTTTTTTAACATTTGAATTTATTGGTACTGGTTTAAACCATTTAAATGTACACTGCAGTATGGAAAGGACTACGAGTATGAAGCTCCAGTCAAGCTTCTGGACAAACTCCTACATGAAATGCCCAAATCACCAGATGAACAAATTGTTGTGGTTTCCCAGGTTCTCTCGCTATCTTCTCTAATATTGACTGGCCAGAGCATGCTATCGTGATGGATTCTGCTTACCTTCCGTATGCTTTCCAATTTTAAATTTGTTAAAGGTACTCGTCGCTGACATCAATATTGGGTACGAGGACATCGTTAATACTCAGGTTTGAGTCTTTATACCACTGCTTCCACTACAAGTTCATGACATGTTTATTTTGTGATATTTGCTTACCATACTTATCCTTGTGTGTTCATACGTGTTTTTGGGGCTCTCAGGTTCTGGCTTTCAATGGTAAACCTGTTAAAAATTTGAAGAACCTGGCCAGTATGGTAGAGAGCTGCAATGATGAGTTCTTGCAATTTGATTTGGAATATCAACAAGTACTCTCTCTCTCTCTCTCTCTCACACACACACACACACACACACAGACTCGCACCAGACATGTCACACAGCTCTGCAGACTGCTTCTTGTTGCATCTAATTCTCTTTTTTGCAGATTGTGGTCCTCCAGACTAAGGGTGCAAAAGCTGCAACATTGGACATTCTTACTACCCACTGTATACCCTCTGCTATGTCTGATGACCTCAAGATATGACTTCAGATTTTGCACGACAATCTGACTTGCTTCAGTCATTTTTCCTAGTATTCTTCTGCTTCGATTATTTCACATTATTTGAGAGATAAGGATCTGGGATATCAATCAGTGCTGTGCTGTAGAAGGGACTTTAGTTAGCTAGTCACGTATGGTTTTAAACTATGATAATCAAATGTAGGTAACGAGTGAATGAGGTGGCATAATGGAGAAAGAAGTCAACTTGCAAGCTTCTGCAATCTCTCTTTCTATCCTTGTTGCCTCCCAGGTGTTTGTTTTACTTTATTTCTATTTTTTGTCTTTTACTTTCAGTATCCCTTTTTTTTTGGGGTTTTGGAGGTTGTTCCTCTTACCCTTTAGGGGAGTAATCCAACTCCCTTTTGTTAAGGAACAAATGTTGCTAGTTATTGGCATGCACAGTTTGTTCAGACAAATATTAGGAAGAAATGAATGGGAGCTAGGGTAAGAAGGCTTACCCATCCACTGTAAGAAGAATGACTCTAGGATGAATCATTATTACTAGTCAAAATACATCTCATTATCACCTTCAGTTAGGAGATCATTTAAAGCATGCCTTTTAAAGGTTGAATTCAGATGAAGGGTCATATTACTTGGCCATGTCTCTCTCACATTCACAGCATACATTGCAAATTTGCCTTCTTAATGACCAGGTATGTTTATCTGTACATACTTGTTTATCCTTTTACTCTCTGCAGCTCTATGATTTTGCGACAAAGGCTTGTTTAATGCAGACGGATATAGAGCATCAACTTCATACGTATCCTTCCCTTAATCCTCCTTAGACTTTGCCCAGATTTTTTTTTCCTTGCAATGATGGAAGATTTTATTAATGGCAAAAGTATAATACATTTAATGAGCAGGGGCTCAATATGAGCTATATAGAAGTGTACTAAGACACTAAGGGTTTAGGAATTCCTCATCAAAAGCTATACTTTGAGCAAGTTTGCTCAATCTTTTACTTAGTCTATTCTGTTCAATATTTGGACAATCAAATGAGCATTTTCTAAACATTGAGCTAAAATCCTTGACGTCCTCTAGGTGTGGAGAAATTCTGATGTCGCTTGAGGATGGTTTTCTGATTAGACTTACGATTGGGTAGCAAGATGTGTGGACTTTAACACTCTCCCACCCTAGTTCCTTCACCTTACTCAATGCCATTTTAATGGCTTGCCAGTAGTCCAGAATCATAGAACCAATATTTCTTTCCCTTAGTTTCCATGCTGCTTGCAACTGGTTCTAGTTGTTTTCAACAGAAATCCGAATCCCCATGTTTTGACCCTTCTTGTGTTGTCCTACTTCCACACATATTTTCCGTGTATTTTATTCTTCTGCATACCTTTGTTCTTGTTCAGAAGCTCCTTCTGTTTCTGAAATGCTCATCTGTGTTGGTGTGTGTTGGGTTTGTTTGTAGTCCTTTCCTCCCGATCATTCACTGCTTTTCAAATTACTTCCATAGGGTGTCTCTCTGTCTTTGAACTCCCTATCATTTTTAGCCTTCCATATCTCCCACAATATATTCACTGTCAAAGCAATGTGTTCCATGCCATCCTTTCTTCTCCTTGCTTCCAGCAGTCATGTACGCTGGCTCTTGAAGTTTCTTATGTGTTCATATAATGCATCCCATTGCATGGGGGCCATTTTCCATATATCTCCGGCCTTTCTACATTGAAAATAAAGATCTGTCAGTGTCTCAACCATGGTTTGCTGTCACAGTCGTGGTTATTTCACATCGATCGTGGTATATCGGTTGGATATTGGCTGATACGCACATTATATCACATAAAAATTTTCAAAAAAATTGAAAAATTTGCTAAAAATAGAAAATATCATAAAAGGCACAATTATCAAATTAAATTTACTAAATACTTACATTATCACCATATTCTCAATAAACATTTTTACCATATTTTCAATAGACATTATCACCATTTACTAAATACCTACATAAGAAGCAAGCATTTTCACCATATTCTCAGTTTACATTTTCATCTTACATTGATCAAATGCGGTGTTTAGGTGATTGATCTCAATTTTTTAAAATAATAAATAATAAATATCACTGAAATATTAAAATTAACGAATTATGTACAAATTTTGAATTCTATCAAATATAGCAAGAAATATTTTTACTTTGTTTACATACCTATTAATACCATGTAGAATGATGAGCAGGTTAAAAATTATACTTATCTTTCGATCTATTGAAGTAAGAATATGGCATTTGCACTTGATTTTCTTCATGTGAATGGGGAGAAATGTATAAATGATGTTGTACATCTTTTAAATTTGATAACGCACTAGATGAGTCATGATTAAAATATGGCAAAGGTGTTAGATTTGATTTAAATTCCTTACCTTTATGGTAGTAACCGAACTCTTGATAGTGCAAACTATCATTAGTGCTATTGGATGAATGATAATTGTGTCCATGATAGTCATTGGTACTTGAATCAAATGCAGATCTCTCGTCATATATTCTAGTTGGTCGATTATAATATCCACTAGTAGAAATACTAGTGGACCTCTGAAGATGGCTAGGTTCACCATATGATCTGTATTCAGAGTAATAACGAGTGGGAGCTGCATGTGATCCTTCAAACTCATGTCCTAACTGTCTCATACCCAAACTATTACTAGAATCATAAACTCCATATGAATGACTTATATCAAATCTTGTATGTGTTCGTGAAATCCAAAATATCTCCTAGAATTTGAGTAGTAAGAAGAGTCGCCTTGCTCAAAAATTTAGTTATTTTGCTCAAATGTTGCCGTTGTTTTTTCTATGGCCAGATGATATTCATGATCAGTATCTTGAGTAGCACAATAGTTATCATCTCTTCGAGTCAATGACTTGCCATCAGTAAATTGGCTATCCTGATAGTTACTATCACTACCACTAATATTCTTTTTTTTTTTTGGAGAATCTCTCATGTTTGTCCCTCAATTATCATCATCATTACTGATGTCATCTTCTCCACTGCTAGAGTTGTTGATAAAGGAAGATGAAATGGATTTTGATATAACTTTTTTCTTTCCATTACTCTTGTCTTCGCTTGTAGATACTTGCTCTTTATGCTTCTTTTTCTTACTAGTTATGAATTAGGACAAAGGCATATCACTATCATGATCATTATGATGACTTTGTTTTCTTCCTTCACTTTCATTAATGGCTTTATCCAACCAATTTAAATCATCTTTGATTCAATCATCTTCATGAATCAAAGACGGCTCATTTTCTTGGACCTACTCACCTAACATATCATTTTCATAAAAAATGTGATTTAAATCAATTGGGTCATAAAAATCATCGGTGTCATTTTTGTACATCAAATTCTTCACTTTGAACCACATGTTATAGTGCGCATAGCAATTTGTGCAACTTTCAATTGCCAATCAATTTCAAAGTTTTGTATGTAATAAAAACCATGTACACCAACTTCTTTCATAGCCAGATGATGTATAAGTTTGTCTCAAAACTTTAATTGCAATTTTTCTTAGATTAGGGGGTGCGTTTGGATTCTTTGTTTTTGCTTCTGTTTTTGAAAAACTGTTTTTCACATTCCAAATATTACAGTAAATGTGTATTTAAAAAACAACTTCAAAAACACCATATCCAAACAATATATCAAAAACAACTCCAAATATACATATTTAATATGTATATTTCAATTATGTATACTATATATATTATATTAATATGAATATATTTATTTCAATTATGTATAATATTATATATATTATATCAATTGAAATAAATATTATATATTTATATAAATACATTTATTTATATATATATTTATATAAATTTATAAATATATTTTTGCAATTTTGTTTTGTAATATATATTAAAGTGTATATTTCAATTATGTATATTATATATAATTTATATTAATATTAATGTATATTATATATATTATGTATTTATATATTTATTTTTATATATTATAAATATTTTATTTTATTTAAAATATATTTTAATATATTTTTATAAATATTATATGTTATATAAATTATATATAATATAAATATGTAATTATACATTTATATAAATGTTATATATTATATATATTATACATTTATGTATATATATATGTAATTATACATTTATATACATTTATAAATATTTATGTATATTTATAATATACATTTATATTATGTATTATGTATAATATATTACATTTATAATACATTTATACATTTATATTAATATACATAATATTAATTATACATTTATACACAATATTAATACATTTTTACATTTATATTAATTATATTAATACATTTATACATAATATTAATATATATTTATAATATATTCATTTATGCATTTATATAATATTCATTTATAATTTATACATTTATAATAATATACAATTATTACATTTATAATTATATTTATATTACGTATTATATATAATATAATACATTTATAAATTTTAATATAATTATATAAATATAATTATTTATAAATATTTATAAATGTATTATAAATGCATGAATGTATATAAATATTTAAATAATAAAAATTATAAATTATAAATAATATTTATACATTTATATTAATTTTATTAATACATTTATACATAATATTAATATATATTTATAATATATTAATTTATACATTTATATAATATTCATTTATAATAATATACAATTATTACATTTATAATTATATTTATATTATGTATTATATATTATATAATACATTTATAATACATTTATATATTTTTATATAATTGTATAAATATATTTATTTATAAATATTTATAAATGTATTATAAATACATAAATGTATATAAATATAAAAAATATAAATTATAAAAATAGTCAAAAATATGTTTTAAAAATACCTCTAAAAATAATGCAAAAAACATCTACAGTAAAATTTTTTCAATTATTGTTTTTGAAAAACAACACCAAAAATAACTAATCCAAATGAACTTGTATTTGAGAAACAAAATGCTACAATGCTGTTTTTGAAAAACAATTCCAAAAATAGCTAATTCAAATGGAATCAGGAGCTTTTTCACCATGCATGTTTCACCATTCAGCTATTAAAAACATATAATGCAAAAAACTAGTTAACATGATGCATATATAATGAGTATCATTAAAATAATATAATAATGAATAATATAATTTAAAGGACAAAATCGTAGTTATAAACTTGATAAAGATGTAGCTACTGTTTTAATTGCAAGTGCACTTTCAAGCTTTCCAATTTTATTCAAGAATATGCTTATCTAAGGTTATCACAAAATTAGACTATTAGAAATTTAAGAAAAAAATACATAAAGTAATGCACATTAATGAAGCAAAATTATCTATTTTTTATTTCATTCATTGCCTTTGCTTGCACTAATTCTAAATTTGGTTCAAACCTTTTAATTACTTCTTTCAATTCTCTTCTAATATCAGGTGTATTAATTTCACAAGTGTTGGAATATTGAAGAACTGGATTTAAGAAATATGCTGGACCAATGATATAAAAAAAATCAGGTGAGGAAATCTTTAGTACAAAATAATTTTTTTAAAAAAATATTTATTTATAATTGTAAACATAATTACCTACTGCAAGCAAGTCTTGGTGTAACTATTTATACTATCCATCATCAATAA